AGATTACTGCCGAATGGACAGAGTAAGGATGACATTGTCGCCCGAATCGATGCAGCTCTACGAATTTTCTTAAGCCAGAGAGGGTGTCGATGGACTCGACGAAATATTTCTATTGCCAGGAAGGTTCGCTTGTATTGTGTATGTTGTCCAGTCTGTGCGTGAGAAGTGAAAGAAAACTGCAGGTATTTGACCACTACTGCTTGAGTGTCATCCTTCGAGTAAAGTACACCGACTTCGTCTCAAAGGCGACAGTCCGCACTCGCTGCATCAACATTGACATGACATGTTCAGCGATTTACCATTTTGGATTTGAAGCATGCCTACAACCAAGTCGCCCTGAGTACGGAATCTCGAGACGCCACCACCATCAATACATACCGGGGATTGTTTCGATGCAAAATACTACCTTTTGGAGTACCTTGTTCCCCAAGCAAGGTCAAGGTCGCGGACGCGCGTTCACCCTTTCCTGGTTCTGACTGGCTACCCTTCAACCTAGTACATTTACCTCATGCTTTATACTCTGCTGTGTCAGCAAGCCTACCCACCTGTGCTGTCTCCCGTCAACGGAGTACACGTCCTGCGTACAAACGGCCTTTTGTTTTGCATACCGAACAGAGAGCAATAATGAAAATACAAACACGGCTACTCAAATCGTTTAAGTAAGTATGATTTCTAGAAATAACACGATAGCCCCTGATCCACATCCAAAACCCTCCAGGACACGTCCTGCCTACAAACAACCTTTTGTTCTGCATGCATAACAACAGGACGGGGGTGAGGGTAAATAAACGAAAGTAAACAGACAGATAGATAGACATACATCATCCGCATGTCCCTCCAGAGTGTGCAGCAATCGCTCCTCGGGCATGCTCCAGACGCGCACCAGTCTGTCCTGAGCTCCCGTCACGAGGTAACGCTTGTCCGCGGAGAGGGTGACCGCGTGAATGATACCCGTGTGCGGCGGCAGGTTAGCCCGATTGCCGCCCTCTAGCGTGGCTGAAATTTCAATCTGACGCACGGGTTGACCAGTCAGCAGGTTCCACACCACCAATTCGCCCTTGCGTGTACCGGTGACAGCTTCCTCATTGTTCAAGATCTCGGTAGCCTCCGGTTTAGCATCAAACACCACAAAGTTCGGTTGCACAATACCCTGCAAAATGCAAAAGAAGCAGAGTTCATTGGAGTAGGGTTGCCCTTCAAACGTGCATGCCTGCACAGACTTCCTCAACAGCCTGACTGGGGAAATGATGATGAGATCGTCGACATTGGGCGAGGCAGTAGAATGGCGCAAATTTAAGTTTTCCAATTTAGTTTGGGTAGGACTACATCGTAGGGCCACGCCCAATGAACTGAACTGAATAGTTAGTAGGAGTTGATCTAGCAAGGTTCTTGGTCTATGGCTTGCTCGGTTAACAAATAGGGGTTGCTCCTATATATTTCTGAGTCTAGGCAGAAGGACATTACCGACAAAGACAAGTGAGATTTGAGGGGCCATTTCTAGCTTATTAGGCATCCTCAGCTAGTCATAACCAGATCCAGGTGGTGTCACACCCGAGCCTCGAACTCGCGATCTCTCTGATCAGAGTCAAATGCCCTAACCATTAAGCTACGAGCTCACAGTAATGCCGGTATTAGGTCGGGGATATACAGTAGCAAATACGCGTACACCGATCTGTTAGAAGACATACTCGTCCGTCCATGTCGCTATCAGAGCTCTCACTCGAGCCTCCACCGCGAGGCTGCCAACGATATAGGCAGAAGGACATTACCGACAAAGACAAGGGAGGTAATTTCTGGCTCATAAGCCGTCGTCAGCTAGTCATTACCAGACCCAGGTGGGTCTGTATTCTTTCTGCGTTAACCAATAAGAGTTTCGCTTTGTCTTTTTCATTCTTTTGGAAAACATGCACTACATTTTTTCAACTTAGCGAAACAATTACAAGTAGCTTTAAGTTATTTTGTACTGTGCACCTATCACGCATTAAGTGAGCATTAATCAGCCTTTACACCATAGTTGGGCGTTATTCGCGGTTTGCTGATATCTAATAAGTCGTTTTCTATGCTATTGATGATTTGGATGGTAAGCGCACTTGGAGGACGGGCAATCTGTCGACGACTACGGACGCCATTAACAGCAAGACGTTCACAAAATTTGCAAGGGATATCTGTTGTTATATCGGCAACCACAGACGTAGAAAGGATACTAGAATTTCACACCTCTAAAGAGGTATGGCTTTACACAACGCTTCCATCTACAATCTAGCTTTTAGGCTACAAGCAGTCTGCGTGCATGCGGGCTCCAATTTATTTCTTTTCCTGCCATTAGCCCGGATCGCAAGATTTTGATAATAATCAAAAGAAAATGGTACATCGCAAAGAACAGCTGCCCTTGTGCTAATGAAACACGAAGCAAACGACCATAGACAAGATTGCCATTACCACGTCTGACAGACTTGATGCGAGCTTAAATGGACAGTCAAAATGTATTGCTTTTGTTTGTGCTTGGTATTATTTTCCTCTTTACATGAACTCTACTTCCCGAAGGGGGCTTTGTGGTCAACTTTATTTGAGTCATTTTTATGTTAAATTTGAGCTTTTCGATAAAAATTAATTAGAAATCAATGCATGCGCTCTTTTTAGGTACCATAGTTTCAGTACTGCTATAAGACTTAAAGGTACATGTAATAGGGATCTTTGGTTAATCTTAATTATATTTCATGAACAAAGGAAATCTACTGTTTAATCCTTGTGCTGGCTAACCCAAAAGGATTACAAATTTCGATTAGCAGAATTTGGAGATTTTTTTCTGATATCAGAAAAAAACGAAATAGCCATTTAATTGACTCTAAGCTTTCTATGCAAAACGTTCAGGCTTAGACTTATCAGGACTTCATAGACTATCGATCGGGATAGTCAACTTTCATGTCAACTTGGCGAGATTTCGCAGGCGGGCATTTTTTTAAACGGGCAGCACTTGGACCTGTTCAATTCCAAGTTAGCGTAATCATGGCTACTCAAATAATTTCAGTAGGCATGTCATAAGGCAATCACGCGTGTAACCCTGGTCCCGACAAATGTCAACATAAAACCACCCTCTATTTGCAAAATGACGCAATCCAGATACCTTAGCCAAACCTGACCAAGAGACCGTGAGCCCACGTTGTCATGATTACTCAAACTGGTACAGGAGGCAAGCCATAGGCAAGACCATTGATTATTAAAATGTTGTGCATTGTTTTTTGGCAAGGGCAGCACTCGCTACGTTCAAACTTACTGTTGTGTGTGCTGCAAGGTCGAAGACCATAAAGTAGGCCTGGTCGTCATCGGGGTTTGTAAAGCCGGCCACCACAAGACGGTCCTCAGGAGTGATGTTAATGTAGGAGACA